TTTTTTATATTTTTTTTCTACCCTGTCCTGTTCAAGAGGGTAGAGATAGAACAGACTCAATGGGCACCCAGTGTCCAGTCAGGGTCAACCCGGTGTTATAAATTAATTAGTCGATTTAATAATTAAAGGACTTTATTACATTATCAAAGTAAAATTGGAAAAGCTACAAGCAAATCAGCACCGAGCCAGGTGACTGGTGCTGGCTGAACTGGGTCTGGTTTAATGTAGCACTGAGCAAACACTTTTCAAACAGGTAGTTCACCTGGTTCTTAGGATTACCCGGTAACATTTAAGTGAATCATCAGTACAAGTCTGTTTTTGTCATGCAACATTTAATCCTAGAATATTTATTGAATACAGTATGTTTTTGTAAAGGGGTTTGTAAAATGTAAATTATTAAGTGACCATCAGGCAAAATTGTCATCTCTGATATGATCTACTGCAGTGTTCTTTTTTGTCTGAAAGGCTGAGAAAATGGATAGGAAAGTGAGACTGAAACTACCAAGTCAGGGCATCAAGTGATGATAATGCAGCTAATGACAGCAACAGATCTTGAGACTCTTGCCTTTTCTGGCTAAAGCTATGTCCCATACCATACTGGAGCATCAGATGGGACATGGAAAGGACCACGGTCAAATGCAGTCTTGCTTTCAGCTCTAAAAGCTTCAAAATTAATCTGAGGGAGAGGGAGAAGTGAAAAAAGATGCAATATATGCATGATTTGGCACATTCCTATAGATGATTTTTAGGATTGCACTGCATTCTAGGATAGCATTGGGTTGTTTTTTATTTTTTTAAATTATAGTTTTTCAATTTAAAAGCTACAGGGCACTGTACGTTCTTGTAAAGCACTTTTGGGAAGATTGAAAGCTTCAGAAATTTGTAAAAACTGATTTGCATTTCAAAGTTGTAGTGGATGTTTTGGGTGATATCACACAGAACTATTAACTAATAACTTTAATGAGCTTTCATAATTGCATAGCTGAACTTTGAATAGGGTCCTCTTTTGAAAAACAGTATCAGCCAACAGTAACTTGACTCTTGACTTTGGACTTAAAGAACAGAGCCAGAGAAAGACAAAAAGAAGGTAATTTGTTTATTTTTATTTTTAAATAAACAACTCCTTCATGTATATATTGTCAAAGCATGACAAATACCACAGAAAGCTCATGAAAACAATTTTACACATTGTCATTCACATTCAAACATAGAAAAACTCTTAGCTCATAATATTTTTTTTTCATTTTCATCTAACAAGTTATAATTTCAGACCACTACTGTGTAGTGCAAGGCACAGTACAATCACAGATCAGTAAGACTATTACTTCTAGTTTACATTTATGTGTGTCTGTGTGTGCATACTTGCATGCATACATCTTACCTTCTTGTATGTATCACAGTGAAGAGAGGGAAGCAAAAAAGGACAGTGCTGCAGATGTTTAGAGGGAATACCTACACTGGCAAAGATAAAGTATGTAGTGCTGGTTAAGCAGGAATGAAAGGCATTATGGTAAACACTAACACTAACAATTCAGCCCTGTCCCAATGCAGTTTCCAATTAATTAACATCTAACAAGTCTAAAGAAATGCAGAAAATAATTTTTTGCTTCAAGAAATCATATTGCAATGAAGAATACCTTTTAATGGCATAATATCTCTCTTTTTAAAGTAGCATTGTTGATTAATGGATGTATACTAATAAATACTTGTGATCACACTGACACACAGATGAAACTATCCTTTCAAAATGTTCTCAGACTGGAGGCGCAAGGTAGGCGTAGCTAGTGATGTTATTGGACATGTCCTGAAAATAAAACTATTTTCACTACAGTCAAATGGATATATGCAGTAGATCATCAAATTCACTCTAGGCTTCTCCCAAAATTCACCTTGTCCCACACACTAGACTTTTCACTTGCCAGACCTAGCTGGAGATAAGGTCACATTTTTTTGCATAATGAAGATAAACAATTTTTTTCTATAAAGCAGTTCAAAGTGAAGGATGTAGTCACAGATTTAGTCAGCAGAAAGAATGGTAGTATCATCTCTCTCAATGTAAATTGTAATAATAAATGTAATTTATACTTTCTTCTAACCTGACTTATTAATCCATCTAATCCTTGTTTCTCTGACTTGATATTTAATATAATTTATTATTTGTCCTTATTAAAATGTATCCACTCCAGATTATATCTCAGTCCTGAATCTTGTTTCCTTTCAATTGCGTACACACACATGCATACACACTTACAGATAAATATATATCTATCTCATTATCTGTGCACATACCTTTGCAGAAAACTACTGTTAATTTTTGAAAACCTTTTTCTATATTCCAGCCGCAGTCAAAAAAGCCTTTTATCATCTTTTATACTGTCTAACTTCTACTTTGTACTCCTCAGAAGTTTTAGTTACCAGGTGGATTGGATAGCTGCAAAAAGTGTTTCATATTTTCACTATCAAAACCAAACAGTCCAGGAGTATTCATCTTCCACTGAACATGTTTACTGTGTTTCATACATTATTAGATGGATACGGTAGGAAATGAAACCCCTGTGTGGTAAAGTATCACTACGAAAGCACTAACCTCACAGACTGAGCACTGAAAGTAATGATCAGAGCACCCAGAAGCCTCTCTGATCTAAATTCATTGAAAACACCTAACTCAGATTCCCCTATTGGTTTCCAGATTTTAGTTAGTGCCTAATGAAGTGAAGTTTATCTCCAAAAACCTTTGTCACAGCTGGAGATAACTAGCAATAGTTACTTGCAAGACTACAATTTAAGGAGGAAACTAAATCTCAATAGGTTGTCATTCTAGAACAAAGTGGAAATGTGCTTTTATAGGTAATATAATACAGAGTAATTTTTATTCAGTCTCCAACCTATATGTCAAAATCAGCATGCAATATGCCTCACATTAATAGTCTCTGCAAAGAAGTATAAAAATGGAAATACAAAGCCACATCAGTCAAGAGTGAAATTCTTCCACAGAGTTGTGAGAAGAGTAATTGCATCATTCATGTCTGGTCAGTCAAAGAACAGAATTTATACAGAGCTCCAAGATAAATGGTTTTTCCCTCAGTTTAGTTTTTAACAGTCAGAGCAAAACAGCTGTTTACTTCTCAGTCCAGTCACACTAATACAAATGCACACAATCCAAATCTCATTGTTCCTGTTTAGAATTTTTTTATAGATACAATAAGATTCATAGATCCAAATATATGCTCTTTTTCTTGCACCTTGAATCTCCCTCTTCTGATCTTCCCCAGTCTGAGTCCAACACTATTCCATCAGGAGGGATGATTTGGTGAGTTATCACATTCCAAGTTGTGTACCAGCAGAATGCAGCGTTCCTGTAGGAGAGTTACTGGTGGAACTTTCTTTTTTATAAGTCTATGATTTATACAGGACTATTTTGATGTGTTTCAGACAGCTTGTTTGCTCAAATAGCTGTCTGATTGCCCCATCAGTTTAGTTATAACATATTTGTTTAAAAGTCTTTATCCTCTGTGTAGGATTTCTTTTATGTTACAATCCATGTGAACACCACATAGATAAAAAAATATTTATAAAAATGCAATTTGCAAGTTTCTTACATAGTAACCAGATGATCCTCAAAGCCCAAAGTTGCAGATAGGTTGGTGGATTCTTGGCTATTGGGGAATTTTGTCTGTCTCCAGTTATGCATTGTTGCAGATGGGTCATAGTCATCTGGGCAGACGCAAGAGGTAGTTACTGGTGGGAGTTATGTAAGCATTTTTACAAGCATAGTTAAAATGAAGCCCAAATCAAACAATGCAGAAAAGACATCACGAGCCTGAGGTCCATTACAAGGCTTATTGATATTATGAAGCCTGTATCTCAGCACTATACCTTAGCTTCATCATGTTAGCTGTACAACAGGAGCTAATGCACTTCTATAGTCCTTGCTTGCAGTTTGCTTTACTCTAAACATCTCAAATACACCTTCCGTTGATGAACACCTATACCTATTTCTTCTTATTCTTTTGAAATGGGTTATTGTTTGTTTTCATTTAGTAACTCCTAAGTAGACTTAGAAAAAGTCTCTTGCCTTTGGTGACTAAAGCTGAAAAGTACATTTGAAGAAGACTAGCTAATCTGGTAGAAGTTATCTTGTCTTCTTCTATCCTCATTTTTAACCTGAAGGTGGGAATAAATAAATCCTTTAAAAACTGTGATTTTCATTAAATCTGCACTACTTAAACACAGACAGTTCATCTTACTTTGTTTTTGTTCTCCTAAAACTAGTTTATATGTCTTGGAAGCACAAAGATGTATTCTGTAAACTCTTCTCAGATCTTGGATTCTAAACTGTCACACAAAATATCTCTGTGCAGTAAAAGCAAAGAATCAATTTGACCTATTACAAATTCTAATCAGAGATGCACCAGTTCTTCCTTCCTCATCTGAGCAATTGTGTATGTGTATGAATGAACAACCTTCACCTCTTTATAGCTGTAATATATGCAATAAATGATAAAAGGAATCTCTTCATTGTCAAGGAGCTCCTTTTCTTGATTACAATGCATCATTAAGGTTTGCCTTAAAACACTAATGCGGGGGGGGGAGGGGGAACAAAAGCTTAGTTTCATATTACCTCACAGAAATCCAATGCTGTAAATTTATTGCAAAAGCTATTAGCCCTTATTGCATAGTGTATGGTATTTATCTCTGGGTTAATTATAGTTCTGTCTTGAGGAAATCTACTGAGACTGAGAAAAGACTGAAACGTCTTTTACTGTTTGCAGTAGGAAAAGCTGTTTTGTCTTCAGCAACATCTGGGGGAAAATGCTGGATAAACAAATCCTTTGACTAGGCCTATGATATTGAAGTAAAATCTGCTTTTATGTAAGTCATGCCATTCACAATAGGTTTTATTGATTTGTTCAATATGAAAACATATGCATTTGCTTTGCAATGGTATGGTTCTTCTTCTGCAGACTTAACTTCTCCCCTTTCCCATCCTCACCCCACAGGCCTGTGACAGAGGGTTAGCCCAGATCAGTGGAGTCATGCGTCACACAGCTCTATCATGCTGGCAGCTGTTCCTGGGTCTGGCTGTGCTGCTTGTCTTCACAAGGACCACTGTGGGCTGCCCAGCCCGCTGTGAATGCTCAGCACAGAACAAGTCTGTCAGCTGTCACCGAAGACGTCTGATGTCCATCCCAGAAGGCATTCCCATTGAGACCAAAATCTTGGACCTCAGCAAGAACCGATTGAAAAATGTTAACCCTGAGGAATTCACATCATACCCATTGCTGGAGGAGATTGACCTCAGCGACAATATTGTCTCCAATGTGGAGCCTGGAGCTTTTAACAATCTCTTCAACTTGCGCTCCTTGAGGCTGAAAGGAAACCGTCTGAAGTTGGTCCCCCTTGGGGTGTTTACTGGGTTGTCAAACTTAACAAAGCTTGATATAAGTGAAAACAAAATTGTCATTTTGCTGGACTACATGTTTCAAGACCTGCATAACCTAAAATCCCTGGAGGTTGGGGACAATGATTTGGTGTATATATCACATAGGGCCTTCAGTGGGCTGCTTAGCCTGGAGCAGCTCACCCTGGAGAGATGCAACCTCACAGCTGTACCAACAGAAGCTCTTTCTCACCTCCACAACCTCATCAGGCTGCATTTGAAACAGCTCAATATTAACGCTTTGCCGGCATATGCCTTTAAAAGACTGTTTCGCCTGAAAGACCTGCAGATAGAGGCCTGGCCTCTCCTGGACATGCTGCCTGCCAACAGTCTGTATGGCCTCAACCTGACTTCACTCTCCATCACAAACACCAACCTGTCTGCAGTACCTTACTCTGCTTTTAAACATCTGGTTTACCTGACACATCTCAACCTCTCTTACAACCCCATCAGCACCATAGAGGCAGGCATGTTGTCGGATTTAGTGCGCCTGCAGGAGCTCCACGTTGTGGGGGCACAGCTGCGCACCATTGAACCACATGCTTTCCAAGGGCTCCGATTCTTACGTGTGCTTAATGTGTCCCAAAACCTGTTAGAAACCCTAGAAGAGAATGTATTCCATTCCTCCAAAAGCCTTGAGATCCTCTGCATTAACAATAACCCTCTGGCCTGTGACTGTCGTCTTCTTTGGATTTTGCACCGGCAGCCCACCTTGCAGTTTGGTGGCGAGCCACCAATGTGTGCTGGCCCAGACAGTGTCAGAGAGAGGTCATTCAGAGACTTTCACAGCACAGCTCTCTCCTTTTATTTCACCTGTAAGAAGCCCAAGATACAAGACAAGAAGTTGCAGTACCTGGTAGTGGAGGAAGGACAGACTGTGCAGCTGATGTGCAATGCTGATGGGGACCCACAGCCTACCATTTCCTGGGTTACCCCACGCCGGAGGTTGATCACAATTAAATCAAATGGCAGAGCCACTGTGCTGGGAGATGGCACCCTGGAGATCCGATTTGCCCAAGACCAGGACACTGGGATCTATGTCTGTATTGCAAGTAACGCAGCTGGGAATGACACCTATTCAGCCTCCCTGACAGTAAAGGGGTTTACTTCAGACCATTTACTTTATGCCAACAGGACCCCTATGTATATGACAGACTCCAACGACACAAGTTCTAATGGAACTAATGCAAACAACTACTCTCTGGACCTTAAGACAATATTGGTGTCCACAGCTATGGGCTGTTTCACATTCCTTGGAGTGGTTTTATTTTGTTTCCTTCTTCTTTTTGTGTGGAGCCGAGGGAAAGGCAAACACAAAACCAGCATTGACCTTGAATATGTCCCTCGCAAAAACAACGGTGCTGTGGTTGAAGGGGAGGTTTCTGGACCACGAAGGTTCAATATGAAAATGATTTGATGGTATTCTGCTAGCAATGCTTTTTCTGTGGCATTAAAAACCAATTAAAACAGCCTGGCATGTGGAATTGCTAGGCAGAAGGAGCTTAATGCAGCTGTCAGTGTATCAAAAGGTTATATGAAAATGGAAAGACTATTTGTGGTTATAGAAGAGAGCCTCCAGACCTTGAGGCAGATGTGTCAGGGCCTTTCATAGAACTGGGAACTTGTACTAACTGTTTGCATTGCAAATATTGGCATTCTGGGGATATCAGCAATGAACCACTGGCTCATGCTCATGGACAATTGTTCAACATTTTCTACTGCTACAAAAGGAAAAAGAAAAAAACCCTACAGTGTAGGATTTACATACTTAAAGAAAAAGACACATTTGTCTAAACCACACTCTACAATGAAATTTGTATCCATATATCGCATTTGGTAAAACTTTGCATCCTCCCTTCTAGCTGGTTCAACACAAAAAAAAAAAAAAAAACAGTAGCTTTTTTTATTTTTATCTCTATCTACTGTGTACATTTTGAAGCAATACAAAAGAGAGGTTGTGCTTTTAAATATCCACCAATACTGACCCAAGTGTGATGTCACCCATCTTTTAACTACCATAAAAACCCAAATTAGATCCTTGTAGTTACTAATTAGAAAAAAGATATTTTTCTCCTCATGTAAAAGGCCAGAGCTGAATAGTTGAGAGCAAAACCGCTCAACTCTGTCGATCTGCTCTTCATATAAATATAAGGCATGTGCCTAGTTTTGATACAGAATGGAATATTTTTTATATCTGTGATATCACACTGGACCAGTATTCTGTAATACAGCCCTGGATCTCACACAGGGAAGGCAACCCACTAGTCAATGCTGGCATGGAGGAGTTGAGTTCTACCTTGAAGAGAGAGAATCAATTTTGTTAGCCCTTATATTAATTTCAAAGCTATTGTTAAAATGTTAATGTGTACTGGGCTAAATAAAGAGCATAATACATCCTGCAGACTCCTTGGGAAACATGGTCATCTTACTCTTTATACAAATGAATTAAAACATACAAACACTCTGTTACTAGGAATGAACTCTTCTCCAATGCCAAGTAAACTACAGTTGTTCATGCATAATATGGGGATTTATAATACTAAAATAATGTTTAAAACATGATAGCCTCAAAAAGGCTGACATACTGCCAGATATAATGAACCTCTAGCCACTGTAATTCTCATCTTGTATATTTGTAGATAACACAAAGACACAAAGCTAATTTCCAAGAACAGATTACATAGCTATTCTTGATGCCATTTTAAAAATAATGTGGTTATGTTTCTTTCAGGGGCAGTATCTTAGAGCAAGAGGGGCAAGTTTTTCTAGATTTTAGGAATCTTTTTTAAAGGAGAGAAGACAGAAGTGGAACATTAGTTCAGTACAAGTAACCTTTTGTTTGTTTTATATTTCCAAAGAAATCCTCAAAAGATTGAGAAGTGAAATTTTATTCTTTATCATTAATACCATGATTTTTATTTTTAAATCCTCAGCAACTGCAAGATACAAAGTTATTCAGCCACCTCTCAAAGTTTCCACCAGTTGTGAGCCATAGGTTTGTCATTCATGGTTGATAGCAAATACCATTTTTAAATGACTGGCATAATCTGGAGTAAGGATGACAATGACCTTATCTATATTTAACCAAGATGAATATGAAAATATTGTTAGACAGAAAATTCAGATTAATGTGATTTAAGAGCCTGTGTTCAATCTTAGTGTTAGATTTCAGCGTTTTGAAACCAAAGTCAGGCTGACCTACAATAGGATGCAGGTGCTTCTAAAATTAGTATCCACATTCTTTGTAGAGATTTCAAAAGCAGGATAAAAATTCTCCCACTTCTATCAAGGGAAATGTGCCAAAAGTTGTAAAATCCAGCTGTGTTCCCCAGAGGTACCGATGCAGGACCCAAGGCTAGGCAGTTTTGAGAATCTTTTTTTTTAGTGGTTGATCATTGGTTGCATCGTTGCTCCATTTAAGGTCATCAAACTGAGGAGGTTGCAAGGGTACTTAGAATTTTTTTCACTTAACGTGGCTTTAAGTTTAGAGTTGGGTTTTCTTGTTTCCTTTTCTTTATGCTCTGAACTAGATATTTGGAGATCTATGGACATGCTTGAGAAGAATACTCTTTGTTCTATGACATTTGTAGAACATCAATATAATGGAATAACCCCTGACTAAATTCTAACACCAGGGAAATTATTTTTGTTGACATAAAAACCACTGCACTGAAGTCCAAAACTCTACTGTACCTTAATGTGGGCAGTTAAAGAAACAAATGGGGATAAAACAAAATGTTTCTGAACTGTCCCTTGAAGACATTTGCATGTGCCTTTCCCTTGTAATTGTCTTTTTTTTTCAACTAGTAATCTATTACCCCTGCCAAATGTTTCAATCAATGTTAGAAGCAAAAATTCACCTAAGTTCTAGACATTTTAAGCTGACTTATTCATATTAAATGACACAATAAAAGAAATAGTCTCCAAAAACATCACCCTAGAAAACATGTACTTTTAGGATTAATTATGAGTTGCGGTATTCTCCTATTCCCTTAGAATGACTCGTAAGAAGTGATTTCAGTTAGGGCACTGCAAGGATTTGTGAACAAAAATCTGCTTAGTTATCTATGTGAAATGTGCGCTGGTGATGGAAATCACCGCTTGCTGTTGCAGAATACCGCTTTGCAGAGCTGTCAGCATTCTGTGTATCGCCCTGAGTTCAGTCAGTATTCAGTTTTTCAGAATCAGTGTTTGTTCCCTGCCTCTAGTAATGTTCTACTTTTTGCAGCCTACTTATTTCAGCATGGACTTAACATGGCATATGGCACCTCTTAACAGAAGTGAGGACAGCAAGACCCAGAGACACTTTATGTCTTGCTCCACATAGTCTCCTTCTTATGTATTTGTGGGACACATACTAACTATGACTCTTCTGGGTGAATAAGGAATACACTGTCAAAGTCAGACCTAGACAAGCACCTTTAGCAATCCTTTTAAGAATAGTGGCTGAATGCTTACCTTGCCTCTTGAAGGAGTCACTTCTCTGCTAGAGATCAAAGAGACGTACTACAGCTTATTTTACTGCAGGGGAGAAAAAGGACTGGGCTGTGAATAGGCATATGACCCACATGGCTCCCCCATCATATATTCAGAAACAGCTTGATAGTGCATACCTGGCACTAAAAGAGGAATCAAAGGTTTTAATCTACCTCTGACTGGTATACTGGCTGGTCTCCGTGCTGACACGAGCCTGAATTTACTTGGCAGCCAGTGCAACAAAACTGAGGAGTAGCAATAGTTCTGCAGAAAAGGAGAAAACTGAAAGTGTCAGAACCAGCACAGCAAGTTGAGAAAACAGATACCAAAATATCCTTGTCAATAACTCTTGTAAGAGAAATGTCCAGGCCTCTTGAAAATATGTTTTGAAGTCCACTTGCACAGATCAGAAGATAAGAATAGATGATTGTACAAGTGTTTACAGAATCACAGTGAATCACAGAATCATTTAGGTTGGAAAAGATCTTCAAGATCATCAAGATTATCAAGTCCAACCTTTGACTGATTGCCACCTTGGCAACTAGACCTTAACACTAAGTGCCACACCCAGTTATTTACTGAACAGCCCCAGAGACAGTGACTCCGCCACTTCCCTTGGCAGCCCATTCTGATCCTTAACCACCCTTCTAGTGAAGAAATTCTTCCTGATGTCCAGCTTGAACCTCCCCTGTTGCAGCTTGGGGTAGGACCTCTCCTTCCGTCTCTGGTTGCCTGGGAGAAGAAGCCAATCCTCACCTGGCTATAACCTCCTGCAAGGGAGCTGTAGAAAGTGCTAGGTTTCCCCTGAGCCTTCTTTTCTGCAGACTGAACACCTTCAGTTTCCTTAGCTATAGCACTTTCACTGTACACCCTCCCCTAGCTCTGTTGGCCTTCTCTGGACACATTCCACCACCTCAATTTCTTTATTGTAGTGTATGGCACAGAACTGGACACAGGACTTGAGGTGTGACCTGACCAGTGTACAGAGGGACAATCACTGTCCTGCTCCTTCTGGCCACACTATTGCTGATACAGACCAGGCCACCACTGGCCTTCTTGGCCACCTGGGCACACTGGCTTATAGTCAGCTGCTGTCAGCCAGCACTCCTTGGTCTTCTGCTTAGCTACTTCCCAGCCACTCCATCCCTAGCTTGTAGCACTGCATGGGGTTGTTGTGACCTAAGGGCAGGATCCAATGCTTGGCCTTTATGGTTCATACCATTGGCCTTGAGCTATTAATACAGCCCGTCCAGATGCTTCTGTAGAGCTTTCCTGCCCTCCAGCAGATCAACACTCACATCCAAATTGGTGTCACCTGAAAACTTACTGAGGGAGCATTCCAGGTAATTGACAAAGATATTAAACAGGATTGGGCCTAATTCTGAGCCCTGGGAACATTGCCAGTGACCCAAATAGTTGTGGCACCATTCGCCTCTCTCTGGGCCTCACCGTTCAAACAGTTTTTAACCCAGCCCTTTTCCCAAACCAGTTAAACTTTCTATAAATGAGTTAAAGATAGCACTGAAGCAATGTATACAGAAAAGAGTTTTTTGCAATGAATTAACGATGGATAATACTAAGCAGCACCCCACCTCAGCCTTTTTTTTAAGGTTTTGAGCTAGTGCTCTGGTTTTTGTCCCTTCTTCTTTCTTCTTAACTTCGCAAATTTATTTGCAGAAAAGCTTTATCCATTAAAATGTAACATTAGATTCAGACTGGGAAGCTGCTTTTACCCTCTATACCCACATCATTATACATTCACGCATGCTCCTAAGTGCCAGCAGAAGCAACAACTCCCAATACAACTGAACAGGAGACACCAAGACCCCTAGAGATGCTGATGTCGCTGGACATTTTGAAACTAAATTTTATTTCAGTTGGCTTCATTATCATACTGACATTCAAGGTTTCCTTTATTTACTTGAATGGTAGCTCTCTTCCTTATTTGTTAAATTTTGATTTTGCATCATCTATAGCAACAACAATTATAACACCATTAAGAAAATAAGAAATATTATACATTACATGCTCAGCACAACAAATTGTAATTTAGGCAGATGAGACACCATAAGAAATCAGCCTTAATATTTAATCAAAATTCATATCTTAACTTTGTAACAGAATAAAAAACTAGCAAGGAGATTACTGAGGTATGTAGGCCATGTTGCAACTGAATCACAACAAAGACGTGAAAGAAACTTTTCTACATGACGCCTGAATATCTGTTTTTTACACTAGACTTTCCCAGAAAGAATCTCAGGATGTGTGAATGTCAGAAACCTCCATTTAACCCATGAGAAGACAAAAGCATTGGCTTGAAATCTAGGTGATCAAGCAATTTCTGGCTGCCCAAGGACAACAGCAGCTTCCAGCAAGGATAGACAAGAAACTATAGTCATGCAGTTATTTTCACTTATTCACTACTGCATCCCATGAAAACAGTCCGTTAGCACCAATAAAATGCACAATCCTTACCCATTTTCTTCACATGAGGCAACATTTGCGTAATAAGCTACAGTGTTCCACCTCCACTCACAGCAGTGAAACATCCAGCAAGAAGTGAGGAAGAGGAAACCTCTTCTGACCAGTTTGCTAATAAGCTTTTACCATTGAATGGCCCTAGTCTACCTGGGGCTATCATGATGGTTGTTTGTCCATTCCCATCCTCTGCTCACCATGTGGTTTGACATGGAGTAGCCGGGAAAAAAAACATGCAGTCAAGTTATCCCTTCTCCCTAAACTGTAACTGACAAACAGGACAGCAGTAGTGTCTTAGAAATCTCAGTATGCTTCAGTTGATACATGGTTTTGCCATAAAACAACATGTGAGAAAACACTGGATACATGCTTTCTGATTTTTTTCAGTATCCTGTGTGATTGATTGCTCTTTGTGCCAAAAAGTACCAGGAAAGAATAACTAAAAAGCTCTCATCCAATAATTTAAAACTTTATTGTATCTGACGGAGTTAAAGGAACACCTTTAGAAAAGTCCAAGGGCCTGATTGCTGGAGAATGTTTCAAGAAATCAATGAGATTTTTCAAGCAAAGCAATTCTTATTATCTGAAATAAGAATTAAAATCTCAATTTTCCTTGGCAACTTAAAAGTATCACAGTTCAGTGACACATGCTCCTTTTGTCTGTCTCTTAGCTCTGCTCAATTCCCTTCTCAATTTCAAATTACTGTGATGCCAAAGGAAGATATCTGGATTTGGTTAAGTTTCATTGAATGCTTACATGGCTTTTGGAATCTAGATCATAAAGCCGGATCTTAAACCTTCTTCAAGCCAAAAATAAAAGCAAATATGAAGAAAAAGCTTGAGTAAACCTCTCCTGCAAATGAAATAAATTAAATTTTATGAGAATCCTGCTACTAAGATAGCATGTGAAAAGCAATCTGCAGGAATTTTGGGGGATTTGGGGGGGTTTTTGTTTTGTTTTATCTTTTTCACTAGAAGCAGGTGGTTGGGTATAAGGCCATCTGGAAATAAAATCTGTATTTATAGCATCAGCAGAATGAGGAAAGAGATGGCATAGTCAACAAAATACTCTATGTTATTTCAGCTTAAATTGAAAGATATTTTATCTTTCATATTAAAATACGGTATAGATACATAAAAAAGAACAGACTTTTGCCTCCTAATTTGATTATCTGTCTTTATTCAACTGTACCAAAATTGTCATGAAGCAGAACTGCTGCAGTAAGAGACTGAAAACACACTTCCTACTGTAGTCAGGCAATATAAATCAGGAGAAATCCTCTTGACACCGTTCTGTAGGTCCTGATTACACTAGAAATTTGATAAACGAATCTAGGTGTTTTTTGCTTTCTACTAAGCAAGCTGTAGTGGAAAATCAGCAGAACTCATGTTTTAATTATTTCTCATCTTGTGGCATCTTGTGCCCTTTCCTCTGGATTGCTTTAATATTTACACTGCTAGAAGAACTGCAAAACATGAAGATGTGGGAAGAAAGGGATAAAAGGCAAATGGAAATCTCTGACCTTGAAGAAGTCAGCCTATTTCTACTCATGGCATTTGCAAGTCAGAAACATCACCTCCTCACACTTAAAGCCAAAAACAATGGCTTTAAAGCATTGTGCATAAGCAGCTGCACAAGCATCTATGAAGATGGTGGTCAACTTGTACACATATTAATAATTTTGGTCTTTCAGAAAACAAAATATTATTGCTTCTTAAAGAATTAATTTATGTCATTTTGGTACTAAAAGCAAACACTTGGCTTAATTACACTGGGTGCTGTATAAGTAGGAAGTAAATTATAACACTGATCTGTTGAGCTTACAGCCATATAGTAGGAATTTGGCTTTTGAGCAAGTACACATGATAACAAGTCTCTCATTGTTTGTCAAGGGAATGCCATAGTGCAGATATATTAAAATATCATCACACTGAAATCTGTCTGCAAGCACATGTAGTTCATATGTACATGTTTGTGTGTGAAAAAATAGTTATATTTGTTTTGTTCCTTTCTTATTTCAAGTATTAAATGTATATTGTTTTTAAAAAGTGACAACTTTAACATGAAAAAATTGTGCTGTAATTTATTTTGATATATATGCTCATGAGTATTGGATGGGAAATGAAACAGCCTTGCTGTCATGATCCATGAAGCACGTGACAATTCAGGCTTGTCCATAAGTTTGCTTCATGTTTGAGCAAAATATGCAAATATAATGAAAAAAAAAAACCAAAAAAAACCAAAAGCAAAACAAAAAAAGTGCTTTGTTGTCAAGACAGTTGTCCTGAATGTAATTTTAAAAGTTACTTTAGGGCTTATGTCATTATGTGTGTCATAATTATCCACAATGAAACCCAAATAAATAATTCCATGGAGTGGCAAAATTTACTTGAAAAAGTGAAGAAAATTTACATCATTTCCCCTATTGTAGATGGTCAGTTTTTTTCCCCAAGGTGTAGTGTAGAACACTAAGACCAGAAAAATACAGTTTCCGTACAGAAGTCCTTAGTGTCAGGTCTTCACAACAAGCTGACTTTTCAGGCCCACTCCTCTTGAACTGAGAATCTGAACACATACCGTGAGAAATAGAAGACTCTGGCAGGTATTTTTCAACTACACACTTTCCTCCTTCATTGCTTAAAGCCCTCAAACACAGAGAAAATCCTAGGCCTCATTCAGATGCATTTTGGGATTTATCATCAGTACAAAGTATCAATCAGCCTGTTTCCTCACTTTTACTTGCACAGTGTGTTCAGGTAACTGATGGGGATACCAATCAGGCAAATGCTGGAAGAAGAAAAGCATGCCACTTAACAGCACCACAGAGAGAACAGCAGAAACATAGATTTCACCAGCTGTGTAACTTGGAAAGCAACAAATACTGAAAATCTGCATCTGAAACATGGTTACTGAGGAAATCACCAGTATTCAAACACCTATGTAATTACAAAAAAATTAAGTGGTGAAAAGTAGATTCTGCTGAGGTTGAAACCTATTTCACCCCCTGAGACTTGCCACAATCTACCAAGTCTTCATCAGACATCAGCTTTGAAGGACACAGGCTGTAATCTAAACTATTGCTACTCCCATTTTTCCAAAGCTAGGTGCTTTTACCAACAGCAAATTTTTTTATGGTTTCCAGGATAATCTGAATTAAGATTTATCACCTGCATACCCATTATACTCTAACTTAGAGTCCTGTTCTGTAGAAGGGAAAATAGTTGCTACCTTGGGAAAAGAAGAAGCAGTTTAAAATCCTGATAGCTTACTAAGAGCAGAGACAGACAGGAGCTGAATCTGAGCTCTTCTATGCCCCCAGTATGTGTCTTATCCTCCTGCATTTGCATTTGACACCTCCAAAAGATTTTGACTGATTTGCCCCACTGTACCCTCCTCCAGAACAGAATGTCAAATGCAAATTGTCAGAGAAACTTTGTTATTGGTTTTATTATGGTAATCTACTTTATTTATAATATTTTTAATCTGATTGGCAGTCTAATGTACTGCAGTGCTGCCTTCAGTATGACATGAAAAAAGAGCCATTTCCCCTACCACTGCACAGAGATCAAAGGTCTTTCTTCAAAGGTTCCTCCATCCTAAGATTACACTATAACAAGAGGAAGAACCTGTTCCTATATCACAAGATCTATTAAGCAATTTCCAGTTCTTACAGTAGAAGCAGCTACTAGTTTTCTCCATGACCAGATAGAGAAAAACACCATTGCATCAGACAATCACTGACACATTCACTAAAATTTAAAAAAAAAAAAAAAAAAATTGTAGAATGTATTACTCTAAACAAACACACTTTAGATTTTTAAAAGCATACAAAATTTGCTAAAGCACAGTCACTTTCAAAAATTTTTAAGACTATTTATACTATTGCAGATCCACTATAGAGGATTTGCCACATAGTTAGTAGCCCTATATTGGATTATACAGACATCTTTAAATAAATAAATCTTGGCATCTAAAGTTTATTTTAAGAAATGCCTGGATTTAATATTTTTGTATTTTTAAAAGTTGATGGGAAATCAAAAATCCCACTACTTACCAAGTAAATTCAATTCAGAGAGACTGAGTTATTCTCATATGAGGGAATGCTCACAGTGAATTTTCTGCATCATAAAACCTTCCCATGTACAGCTGTAGATAACATGCAAAAAAAAGGGCTTTGTTCATCTCTGGTACTGTCTGGAACTGGGGGAGAGGCTGGTAATTCATGCTGGGAAAGCAAAAATAAAGTGTAAAAGTGCTGGATTAAGAAACACAGAGTTATTGCAAAAGAACTGGCCTTTCTGTCTACAGGCTCAGTAGCAGTCTGGGAAATTTAGTTTAAATTCTTGCTTTCCTAGATACAGGAAATTCCTTATTTTCCCTCTTCTTGGAAGGATAAGTTTCAACCTTAGTAATCCATGGGAAATGAAATGCAGTAAGAAGTTAATAAAATGCAGGAGTGGATATTAAACATGAACAGAAATTAAAATGTACCTAAAAATTATGTTACACTGGTACTTAGCACATTGTCTAAGTAATTCTGGAATTATTTTGATTTTCAGGATCTGGTTTATTAATTAATAGCTAGGGAATTCATTCAGCTAGTTAATGCTGTAATCACCAGCTGGAATATCTTACTTACCTCATCAGTCCCTAAGTGGAAGTTATATTTTTCTGAGCTATTTTCCAATAACTTTCCTATTTATATAACTCAAAAGCACAAGTGATGGAGAGCACACTTATTTTATCATAGAAAGACAATGATAACAAATTAAATCTATCACTTTTGCTAAGAGAGCTTTTTGCTGTTTTTACAAAGATTAATAGATAGCATCCTTATCAAAATTATTGCTATCACTAAAACCAAACACCTCACCTTAATAATCTATTGACTTTTTGTGCATCTGAGCAGTGCACCAGTACAAATGCACTGCAAGAAACATTTTGCTTTCACATTGGGCAGGCATGCCATGCAAAGGGGTTAGAGGCAATGCAGCCTTCTGAGTTGCAGAAACATTTTCATTTCAAAAGGCCTTATTGAATTTTTTGTTGGCTTTTACGGGTTTGGTAGGCTGTCACATCTTGTTAAAGGATATCATATCATCCTTTTCTGGCTTGGACAGGGCATAGCTGTTAGTTTGTAATATAAACAGAAGGCTGCAACTCAGGATTTCTTAGTTGTAATCAAAACCCTGGGCCTCTAACTCTTTGGAGAATACAAAAATATTTACCTTCCAAAAGGACGATTCTACCATTTCCCTAAGGGTTATAAAGCCAAGGAGTTATAGTTCACTCATACCTGGGTGAGGAATGATAATTTTGACGAGGATTGGTATCAAACAAAGAAAATATTTTTTAAGAAATGCAAGCCCTGCTGCTCAAAGGGCTCCAGATGAGGGCTCCTCTTGGCAAGGACTCCTCAGGGCAAGGCTGCCCTGTGGTCAGCCTTTCCAACAGTTCTAAATGAAAGGATTGCAGAGCAGTGGCAGTATATGAAAGAAAATTGTCATGAGAGATGCACACCAACTAGATGCTGACTTTTATGCAGTTCAGTAGTATATTGGATAAAAGGACCTCTTAATGCCTCACTTAATTAGTGTCTTTGCAATGGTTGAAAAAACATTATTATCTCCTAAAGCGTCAACAAAATCTGTGTCTTTGCCTTTGATTATAGATGAGAAATGCTGAAATGAATGCAAAGCACACATTAATAGTCAAGTGTCACACCAAGCAATCAGACTACTACTACTACTACTACAAAAACATTTTTATTAGTCCTTATACAAAACTACCAAAACTAAGTCACATAATTTCTCCACTCGCTAATCCAAGTTTCTTGAAAGAAAACTACCATTTTCACATGTTTCCCAGCTCTTTAATAGATAAAGTAACAAGAATACACTTTTCAAATTACTGCTGCCAGTGTTTATTATAGGGAATTTTTCCTGACACAACTCCATTTGCCACAACATTGAGTTGTGGCCAACCTCATCTTCATCTTTTAATCAAGATTGGTTTTGCTTATACATGAGTCAAATACTTGGAAATTCCCTATTCCCAGCTTCTGCTTTAGAACTGAAGCCAGAAGATTTTGTTGTGAATATCCGTGAAGTATGTTTGATAGTTAATGGTTACAGCCTTGCATCCAGCAGTCACTGGAACTATACCTCATACTAAGGTATGAGCCTATCTGGCAGGATTAAAAGTAACAACTGCTCCTTGGGAAGCAGATTAACCAATACCTCCATTTTATCTTTCAAGACCTCTATCAACTTTCAAGACACAGGAAAGTCTGTGTCCAAGTCATTTAGAACTGAAGGAAATATTTGCAGGATATCCTTGCCATCTTAGAGAACTGCATACAAAAAGACATGTGAGAAGTCAGTTTGTCCTTTAAGATTAAATTACTGAAGCAGAAATCTAAAACATTACAAACAAAAGGATGTATGCATTTAAGAAATGCTCCGGTGGGTTTTATACTGTAAGAATGAAAGTCAGAAACATAAGTAAAAGGTGAACTTGTTGATGAGAAAATTATTTTCTCAATGTAATAAATGCTCCCTTCGGATCACAAAATACATTCCCTCCAGTATTTAAACACAAGGATTCTCCTCTTTCCTCGTTCAAAGAGATCTACAAACCACCTCATTTCAGTACAAATACTTTATTAAAATGCATTCTGTTACATTCAAAACATCAACCCTCCCTAGATTTTCAACAGTTGTTGTAATTGTTTTTCATATAAATTGATTCTAATTGTGACACTGTTCTGCTACAAAGCCTATTGTCTGTGTCCTTCAGAATTGTCAATTACTTAAATGAAGAAATAAAGGCTTGAAAGTGCATTGTTGTAATTGATTTCTATGTTTAAATTATCTAATCACAAAACAAAGTTATGAATTTAATCTGTTGAGGCACAAATACTTTCCTTGACAATAGAAAGAAAAAAAGAGAAAAAATAAATATAAAAATCCACTACTGTTTCGCTCGTGTTTTTTCAGATAAAAGTTTGAGGCTGTCATTCTGATTCTCTTCTACTGTTTTGGAAATATGCATAGAATTTTTTGTGAGTATATTGCTTATAAAGAGAAAAGGTTTTTCTTAAACATTCCAATAAAGTTGCTTTTCTCCATATACAATCTAGTTCCCCTAACTAGGCCAGTATGTGCCATAAAGTATCATCACTAGACTGTTCTTACCGCACATTTTCTAAGCAGGGTGTGATTGTTAAGTTCCACATGTGATGTTCCCATTGAGTCCCAGGACCATTTTGTCCCAGTGCCTTCTTCCCAGGCACGTGTGGGCAGATGGGTCTGGATGCTGAGGAGCTGCTTATTCAGAATCTTTTAAATGGTCCCTTTCATACTTCAAGCCCTTTTTCTGCTGTCCACTTCAACTTTTTTGCTCATCATTGCCAAAGAGACACACCTGCACTCACAGATGGAAACAAGTTTTCTTTGCTGCGGAGATGTATATGCCCTCAGCTGTCTGCCAGTCCTGTATTCTGTTAAGGCGTTTACACCTCTGGTTCCTTGCTGATGTTTGGTTTCCAGACAACAGCTGAAACAGTCCCAATTGCAACCAGCCTATGGGGAGGGCTATAGAGTGGCATGAATAGCAGACAGGATCACCTGAGACACAGACAAACCTTCGGACATTGTGTATTTGTGAGCTACCGAGTGGTTTCTAAAAGCAAAATCCCTTACCAAGAGGAAGTAAATGCCAGAGGCATCTAACAGGGCTCTTGAACAACACAGCCAAGTCCTTGGTGACAAGTACAAAACATTAATTCTGAGAAGAAGACTAAAATATTAGGAAAGAAGTGTCTTTCAGGAAGCCGCAGCAGAGTGAGCACTGCTGCCATGGTCCATTGCAATAGACCAAAACAAGGAACGGAGCCACACTCAGCACTCATCTCCAGGCACTGGCATAGTGCGTCCAGCCTTATCCAGCCTGAAATCTGTGAATTGTGTGTATAACACCTGAGCAGTCAAGTGTGCCTTTGATTGGTGCTGGTTCCTGCTTCAGGAGCTGCTGGTGGCAGCTCTTTGTTCCCAGCCCCAGAGCTGTTCCCTGAGTTTGCCTGGCCCTACCTGGTGCAGGCAGCAGCCAGTGCAGGGTGGTATGGTGGCCAGTAGGAAGCCAGACTGCTCTCTGCTTTAGAGGACCATAAAGGTAAAGGACAAAGATGTACTCAAACAGGCCTGTGAAAGAAATAATTTTACAGCACAGAGGCCCAGAGCAAGTTGGAACACAGAGGTCAGCTTGAGTGAGAACAATCAAAGCCAAGTGTTCTGTGCCCCAGAACAAGGAATTGCAAAATATATATCCTGTTGCTGTTATGAGAGTGCTGGAGGTTGTCAAGTAACTGCGTTTTTCTTTGGTCTATGTATATCACAAATATTTTTGAAGCTGGTGGGGTTTTTTTTCCAGTTAGATAAACAGAATTACTTGATTTCACAAAAACGAGAGACAACACAGCCTTTGTATCCAGCACACAACAAATATAAAGCTCTTATCACCTGCAAATATTCACCCTGCACCTCTGCTTGAGGTTATGCACTATTTTCTCCCAGAGAAGATTGTTCTTTAGAAGATTAAGACTTTATGGATACATTTTTAATATCAGGAATGGTACTGAGTGCTATTGCAATACTGCAACAGTTTCTGTTACAGCTTAAATCCAGGCTAAGAAGGCCGTATATTAAATTTCTGAATTATTTTTTTTAGTGACAGCTTGCAATCTTGTGGAGAAATCTCAGAAATCAACCGGGTCTTTCCTATCCACGACTGAAACACTCTGTCTTGTAATTCATGTATCTTCCTCTGTTTGATAGGCTTCATTGTTTCTGTGTCTTCCTTTTGAATGAACTTTACAGGAAAATTATGAGGAAATATTAATTTCGTTTGTACATTTTTAGATAAAAGCATACTCTAGATCTAATACAGGCAGTCACAGTCTTTATCAGTATAGTCCCCTTGAGCTCTTTACAGATTTGCCTTCTGTAGATGTGTGGCTAGCTTTCCTCATGACAGGTAATATAAAACTCCTCTTCTAGAACAGGTCTAAGAATACGACTCCAGGTAGTCCTTGCTTTTATGCAGGAATAACATCTCAATTTAGTTTTTACATTTCTTTGGCTTTTAGCAGCCAGAATCAGGAAATCAGCCTCCCTTTTGAAAGATCACTAGGTGGGTTTTTTTTGGTTTGGGGTGGGGTTTTTTGTTTGTGTTTTTTTGTTGTTTTGTTTTTTGTTTTGTTTTTGTTTTTTGTTTTGTTTGTTTGTTTGTTTTGGTGGTTTTTTGTGGGTTTTAAGGTTTTTTGTTTGTTTCTTTGTTTCTTTGTTTCTTTAATGAGAAAGTACTCAGTTTTGCTTAGAAGACTATCACATTGCACTCTGAATACACCATCTTAGCTGACACATATAGTGAAAAAACTTTAGCCCTTCTCAGAATGGTCTAACACATAGCAAGGCAATTAACCATGTCTGTTCCCCAATCAACTTCTCCATATGATTTCTGAGAGAAGCAGTACACACCACTTGTTTACTTGTTTCACAGCCAAGTCTCCCACCACTACCCTTCCTCAATCCCAAATACTAATTTCTATAATATTCATTTGTCCAAGCCAATAACTTTGTGTTGCCTGCTGGTACTTTGGTACATTCCTATCACTGAGTGCAAATGACCATTTGCTGATAGCAGACTCATTTCCCATCATGCTGATCCTGTTCCACGATTTTTTTTTTTTTTTTTGCATTTTTATCTTTGGCATTATGGTGTTTGTATGTTGTAATGTTCCAAAAGAATGTGATTCTTATGTTTAGGAATTCATTACTATTCAGAGTTTGTGCAATGTACAATGTACTTATTAAATAATGAGCACATAGCACACAGAACTCCCACTTTCTCTCTTGTATTAGTTAGAGGTGGTTGTGGCAAACATAAGTAAATTAATAAAATTTTTATTACATATTCACCACACATGCTTTTGAAGCCTGTACATGCTGTGCCATGAATGCATAACTAGCACAGGGAACACAAACCAGAATTCCACATACCCTGTCTTTGGGACTTTATGATACCTTTGACTATAAGAAAAAGCTCACTTATCACCAGTCAGCAAGAAATTGAATTGAATGAATGTCAATTGTAAGTATTTACAGGATACAAGTCTTGAGTGTAATTGTAACTGTGATATTTAGTTGCTTCCTATAACAAATGCTTGTATGCATCAATTTACACTGTAGCAGACAATACCAAATTTGGTCATTTAATTCAACTGTTTATGAAAATTGTGTCTGCTATAAATTGAGTCTGGGAACAACACGCATATATGGGTCCCACTTATAAAAAGGGATAGACACAATTTTCAGCTCAATGCCTTGTCCAAGTTTTGGCTGTGGATAATACCTGATCTAGAATTGTTGATCTCTTTATCTTAGCAGAAGAATTATTAGGTTCCAGTCATTTGCAATAAATTCCAGGAAGATTTTAGAAAGGACTGGATATGGGTAGTGCATTGGGTTTGCATGGCAAGATTTTGATGACAAGATAGCACTGTGGACTGCAGGGATGTTGATTTATTTGAGAAGCTGCTAGAAGCTTCCTCTGTATCCAGTGGAGCCAATGTTAACCTGCTCTAAGACAAACTTGCCACTGGCCAAGGCTGAGCCCATCAGTGACAGTGGCACCACCTTTGAGATAATATAGAAGGGTAAAAAAACCCCACCAACTTCAGCTAGAAATGGAGAGAAAATATCTGACAGGAGCAGCCCTTCAGAGACCAAAGTCAGTGCAGGGGGGAGAGGAAGTCTCCAAGTACCAGTGTCGAGATTCCCCTGCAGCCCATGGTGAATGCCACATTCAGACAGCTGCAGCACATGGAGATCCACAGGGATGCAGAGATCCACCTGCAGCCAGTGGAGAACCCCACGGTGGAGCAGGTGGATGCCTGAAGGAAGCTGTAACCCTCTGAGAAACCCTCATTGGTGCAGGATCCTGTCAGTATCTGTGGCCTTGTCGACAGATGAGCCCACACTGAAGCAGAGTTGCAGGCAGGATTTGTAACTTCACAAAGGACCCCACAATGGACTGCTACAGCAGTTCATGAAGGACTGTGGAAATTACTCTCATAAAAAAACTTATTGTAGTACTGTTGTGGGAGGTCATGGGCCAGACACCAAGGCACGGATGCCCTGGGAGGACTCTCCCCTAGATCAGGGTAATGAACTTGGAGTCTTCCCAGAACCCCCTGTTGTACTATGCAAAACAGCCCTGCCACTCAAGCTTGGTACTACTCCCCCAGTTCTAGAAAATTCTGTACCCCTTGCCTACCCATTGGGCCCTGTCACAAACCACTCCTTTCTCCACTCCCCATTGGTGGAACTGTGTCACCCCATCCTAGTTCCACCCTGCTTCCTCATCCCCATTGGTTTCTTTGTACCCTGACCCCTCCTACACCCTCCTGGTTATATACCTAACCCCTCCCCCGTGTGGTGGAGAGTAGCAGCTGACAGTGCCACGTGTGTATGTGGCAGTTGCACCCCTGAGAGATCAGCACCCTCTCACCCCTTGGCCTCTTGATCCTGAAACCCTTTGGTTGTGGCTGTGATCCTTCCTGCTTACCCTGCCTCCCTCCTCACCTGTCTTCTGTTTTCCCTGGACCCATCACCTTTCCTACAATAAAGCCCAACTGGATTTTTCACATCAAGAGGCCTCCTTCTTCTGGTTGTCCACTTACTGCTATATCCGGGCCTGAGTGCAAGGTGGGCTGAGGGAACAGGTTGTTTGGACCAGAAGGAAATCGCTCTTGGGAAGGTGGTCACCGAAACAGCACCTGCCCAGGGGTTCCTGCAGACTGTCCTGTGAGAGGGACCCCATGCTGGCAGAAGGGATGGGTGTGAGGATTCCTCTCTGAGGAGGAAGGACCATCAGAGATGTGAACCAACCACAGTCCCCATTCCCTACTTCAC